GATAAAATATCGGGACCTAAACGATCCATTAAGATCACCGATCACTTCACGTGCGCCTCCGCCAACGTAATCTATTGCATAACTTGCACTTATTGCAAAAAGATTTACATCGGCGAAACAGGCAGTAGACTAAATGACCGATTCCGAGAACACCTTCGTCACGTGGAGAGGAATGACAAGGACACATCGAAACCAGTCGCTAAACATTTTAATTACCTAACCATTGTAAGCAACATATGGCAATCTGCGGTCTTTCCTGACACTTAGGTAGCTCAGAAAGCCGTAAAACTCTCGAACAAACGTACATCTTTCAAACCGGCAGTCTAAATCCCACCGGTATCAACGAACGCTTTTCATTCCACTAATTTATTCATGTTTTTCTCGTTGCCACGTTCCCACCAATCACGTAGTTCCTTTCTCTGCCTTTAAAAGCACACACGTCAGCTTTTATAATCGTAACGGTGGCCAATTTACCATTCCAACTTTTGCACCTAACTTAGCTCAATAACTTTCGGGGTCAGTGGTTATCAAGGTTGTGGTCCATGCCCATAAAGATACCCAGTAAACGGCAATGCGCGTATACATTTCAAAACTAACAGTCAAATAGTTGAAATGCAATCCTCTGCATGACTTTGGGGCTGAGGGTGATAGCACGCTCAAAAGGCTTCCACTTGTATCCAGAAATATTACAATTTCCTTGATTGGGATTGGTTCAAAAAACTCATAATTTTTACTAACTCACTTGCCAATTTGTTATCGGATAGTTTGTTATCGGACTGTTCAATGAGCCAAACAATTTCAAAAGCTTTAGTCTAAAACAACCAGTCACACCCCTTTTTGAATTCAGATTGGCTCCTCCTTACGTAACTTGGCTATTTTTATTTTCTCGGAAATTGTAATTTTGATGATTGCTTAGTAATAAGATCTGTGGTAAACAAGTCAGATTCCCCCTGTACGGAACTCCGATTTTTTTGTCACTGTAATGATTACAGACGGAGTTGGACTTCACTGAGTCCTATTATCATTGAAAAACAAAACAATTAGTTTTTATCGAAAAAGATAAGGGGTGCACCAACGCTAAGTTATCTACGTTTCTGTTTGCAGACCTCATCTGTTATTCTGAAGATATGGCCTGCGCTGTTAAAAACCTTAAAAACAAAGAGTTAATCGAGAAACAACTAAGAAAATCATGAATTAATAAACGGGGGATGGGCGGAATAATAATGCGAATATACTTTCTTTATCATTTGGATACATTTAGTCTTGTCGATAGTGACCGACTGTTTATAAAAACATACCAAGAGGGAGAGCTGCTATGGAAGATTGTTCATTTCAAGAAACATTTTCATCTTTATTCGCATATTTTTATATAATTAGCCTTGCTTTGTGTTTTGATTTCGCATTGTTGCGCGAAGTGTTATTTTGTAGGCTGTTACCGTTTCTAAGCTCAGCTACGTGTCATATAAACCAACAGTTGTTTAGAAAATGTCTAAATACTCTTTACATTTCAGGAACCTAATGCAAATTCAAATTATCACAGAATTAACGCAGCACTAGCTTAGCACTTACCATACAATACAAAATAATAGACACCTTGAGATACCCTGATTTTCACGCACGAGTAAGGCTAGCGCCATTTTGAATTCATTAAATGATCACGTGATGGCGTCCTTCCCGTAAAAGCTACACCTTTTCCTGGGGTAATCAGTGGTCTATAAGTGAGTTCGCGCCCACTAAAAATGGAGAAACGGGTAAGTTTTTATTGTCTTTATCTTTGCTTATCAGACCAGAATGGTATCCAGATTCTTGCATAAACTGACCTGTTTTTCTGATTTGAAGCGTTTTTTTTTGTGAGGCACAAATATGAAGAAATTTTTGCCGGTCAAAAGGACTTGCCGCTTTCCAAAACATGCGATGACTGAGGTGTAGTCTCTTTGCGAAGTTTTAGCTGAGACATATTTAAAATAGATTTAAAATACAACAGGTCATGAACAACGAAGAAAAAAACCTACATTCAAATTACACACTTTATGTTGACTTGAAAGGATACTTCTGGACTAAAACGTTTTGGTAGTAAACTAGGCCTCTTCCGTTTAAGAGTCGAGGGCATATTTGAAGCATATTGTAAGAAAAGAGAAAAAAAAAGTCAATTAAATGTAATAGAAAAATGTTTTCGGCTTATTTCAAACGATGTTCATATGGCATATGAAACAAGATGTAGACCTTGCAAGAGAGGTTATTGCTGTGAGGCCAGTCTTTTGCGCAGCATTTTGTCCAGATCGTACCCGGTATCATCCGGCCGGGAACTCTATATTGAATCAATTTGCCTCTATAATTTTTGTTCCTTGATTAATGAACAGTTGTTCATTTTCCTCTCTTGCACCAAGTATCTTTGTTGGGCTTCCTGTCTTTTGCATGTGTTTTCCAATCTGATGGGATTTATGGTCAAACCCAACCGCTCTTTTGTATTTAGTAGGTGAAGTTTGGAAAGTGAAGTTGTAGAAATTTCTTCCTTGCTTTGATTTTTGCATCAAGGTTACATCGTGAATGGAGCGGTGTGTCTTCAGTTTGATTGGTTTCCCGTGGAACCGAGTACGTGTACTGTTAATCCTACCCGTACCCGTACCCGGAACCGGGCTACCCTAAGGTGTACATTATTTTAACTCGATCGTCGTCTTAGTTAAACACACAACGTTAAGTTTTGCCTATCTCAAAAATATCATATAACAACAGAATGACTAATAGAATGCCCAACTGTAACCTTAGACATTTTAAGCTTAAAGTTTAACATCAAAGGAAATTTGATCAAATATCTTATTTTAAAAGATCTAACCTTTGTTGTTGATTAGTATAGGTAATCGCATGGGGCCGAGTAAAATTAAGGATTAATATCACTTGTGTTTTCAGAAGTTTCTGAAATTGCCCGAGTCGCGAAGCGACGAGCAACTTCTGAAAACACAACTTAATTCTGAAACTTCTGAAGCTTTTGAGGCAACTTCTGAAAACACAACCGATATTAATCCTTAATTTTACGAGGACCCATTGCGATTATTTGTTAATGAAATTGAGGGGAAAACTACCGAGTTTCTGAATGCGCTCATCAGTAATCAGTCATAGGAAGCCATTTAAAGTTGACAGAGAATCAATGGCCACAAACGTACGAATGAGCTGAATGAAGTTTTACTTTTGCACAAAGATACCAGGACTTTGAATGGGCTTTTGATTTTAAATATCTCTGCAGTGATGCCTGCATTACTTTCGGGCAGTCGGGCTCATATTCATCCCCGTTTTCTTTTCGTAACTTGGCATAAAACTGTGCCAGTGTTCGGTCGAGGACTTCGCTCTCGTATAGTACTCTTCTAAATTTGCTTGGAAGTTTCTTTTATTCGCCCACTTTTTGACAACGTTCTTCCAGTACTCCGTGCTTTTCCTCGTGTTTTCGTTTTCACTCTTGTCTTTTAATATTCTTCGATATATTCCTCGTCAACAATCTCGAAACCAGACACCATTGTTACAGAAAATCTTCAGCAACAACTTTTCGATAGCATACGCTGTTGCTAGGCAACCTGAGTACCAATCATGAGCTAGTAATTTTGCCCTCTTCTCAAGCAAAATTAAGAAAAATAACCCCTCTTCATTGACCAATCAGCATTCAGTAATTTTTCCCTCTGTTTTATTATAAGGAAAAGGACCAAGTTTCAAATCATTTGATAACTAAATTCTTCAATCTATGAGACGTATGGTATTTCTTTACACGGGAAAAAAACGTCGTTCACCGTTAAGTTTCCAAAATGGGGAATGACTGATAAATTCAACATTAAACCAACGTTTTCCGATATCTGAAAACATACGGCAAATTCACTGCTCGCCATCAGTAAAACGCAGGAAAAACACGAAGTTCATCGCAAGTTATCCAACACTAGGAAAATACCAAAGAATAGCCTGTTCTCCTGAACGTTTTGCTACAGTTTTCCCGTGCGTGCGAACGCAGTATTTTCCAAGCGTTTTCCCACAGAATAACCAACTTCGAATGCCATAATAACATGATGTTTGTCGATTGTTTTCGTGCTCCACGAAAACGCTAGTATCTAGCTTATTTTCCTAAGCGTTATTCTATGATTTTCCCGAGCGCGCGAACGCTGCATTAGTCAAGCGTTTTCCTGCAGAATTGCGAACGGAAAATGCCATAAAAACAAGGAGTTTGTCGATTATTTTTTCCTGCTCCACGAAAATGCTAATGATACCTTCCTCTCCTGAACATTTTTCTATAGTTTTCTCGAGCGCGCGATCGCTGCATTTTTCAAGCGTATTCCTAGAGAATTACTAATAGCATGAGAACACGATCTTCGTCGATTTTTTTCCAGCTCCGTGGAAACGCTAGAGTTAACAATTGGTTCATGCTTTAGCGTGCACTATCGAGTTATGGAGCACGCGGGAAGTTTGGAGAGTACGAAAGAAGCGTAAGAGTTGCCCGAGGCGATAGCCGAGGGCAACTCTAGCTTCTTGAAATGTATTATTTTTCCCCGCGCTAACAATGGCCGCTCGCGCGAAAAAAAAAATTTCTGGCGAAGTCGGATTTGCTGACGCTATCAGCGTGCACTATCGGGATTTTGAGCACGCTTACGTATAATGAATTTGATTGCGCGACTCTGCTAGCTATGTTCTAATGGTCATTAGATTCAACTAGTTTGGTATGAAACAAGAACATATTTCATGCGGAAGCTACAGAGTTATANGGACAACAATATCAGTTGAAGCGAATCGTGACGGCGCTGATGCCGAGTCTCCTTTTCCTTTGTTTTTCTCTTTTTCTGCCTCATTTAAGAACTCTAGCCCAAGGGAAAAGGTCGAAACATTGTCTTCGTTTTCGGACTAGTAGGCCGAGTTTCTGTTTGTATCCATTATTGTCGCGAAATATATTATTTTTCCCCGCGCTAACAATGGCCGCTCGCGCGAAAAAAAAAATTTCTGGCGAAGTCGGATTTGCTGACGCTATCAGCGTGCACTATCGGGATTTTGAGCACGCTTACGTATAATGAATTTGATTGCGCGACTCTGCTAGTTCTAATATAGCTTGTTCAAACGGAAGTCTTTTTCTAATTTTCTCGAGCACACGAACGATGCCGTTCTCCCAGAATTACTCATTATCGTGATTAAGCAATAAAGATTTGGTGTTCGTCTCTTGTTTTCGTGCTCTGTGGAAACACTCGTAAACAGCTTGCATTGTTTTCCTGCAGCTTTTTGTAGTTTTCATAAAAACAAGAGCGCTGCATTTTCAGAGCGTTTTCACACAGAATTACTAATGGTTAACGTCAAGAAAACACGATCTTCGTCGACTGTTTTCTTGCTCCAGGGAAACGCTAATGTATAGCTCGTTTCCGGTGTCACAGGTGGCGGATTTAAACCCCCGGTCCAAGTCCGCTGGCGGATATAAACACCCCTTCGCAGAATTGAACGACCTATCAAACTCTCCTTTAAGCGTCGTTTGTATCATGTAGTCCTAACCCTAAACCCTAGACCTTAACCCTCAGCTCTTTCGCTCAGGACGATATTTTCACTAAGTTTTGTTGGGGGTCCAAATCCGCGGACGGAGCGTCTTTGAACCTGGGCTCCACAGAATATTGACCATGATTTGGTCATTTGAGGCAATTCATGTCATTTGAGTTGTTTGGATCATTTGAAGAAATTGTGCTTATTGAGTCCTTCAAGTGGATTGAATTGATGAATCAGCCATTAATTAATAACTGACTCATGTACAGCTGTAGTAATGAGTGACGGGAGTTTAAAGTTCCATCAATGTAACATTTTTTTATTGCTTTGTGGTATCTTTCCCGGGTGGTACCTTTTTACTGCACCAAGATGTACCCCATTGCTCTGATTTTTGCTTCTCCATTGTCCGACTCATACTGCCTGGAGGCTGCATTTCCACACGTGATAGCCTTATTAGGTTTCCCCGCAGTACCGAACCTAATTCTGGAATCACAACTTCTGCACTCATTTTCATTGTTACCAAGTATTCCGATTCTTGCTCTAGAATGATCACTTCTTTCAGACACAGTATTAAAGCCTTCCCTGTTACATTGGGGCTGCAGGGAGCCCCTTGAACCAATAAGTGCCTTCCAAGTGTCTCGACCCAGTGACGTGTTGCGATATTTCCCATCAGCGATCAGTGAGTGCAGAGAGTCGGCCTGCTTGTTGATGGCAATGAAGTTGGTGTGGTGGCCAATTTTCATACCAAGGCATATCTTAGAGAAAGGCGTGTTCCAGAAAGTCGGCAGCTTAGTTTCTTTGTTGTCAAACCCAGTTTGTCCGTTGGGAGAGTTGTATTCGTTCTTATCAGTCCAATGATGTGAGTCATAATGAAAGGTATTCTGAAAAAGAATAATTGCTTGGGCAAATAAATAAATAAATGAATTCATAAAGGAATAAGTAAATAAACTTACAAATATTCTAATCAAATAGAACAGACATACTTGATCCATAAGCTGTATGCTGTTTACTTCTCACTTTGGATGGTACCGGGAATTGATTTATACGATGAAAAGGCTGTTGTACATAGTAACGAACAAGACGTTATGTAAGACAGTAACAGGCATTAAAAAATAAGAAAATGAAACCTTGTTGCCATCGATTTTCATGACCGGCGTCCATCCCCCATCACCGCATCCACTGATTTCTTCGTAACAACGAACGGTCACTGGTTTTCAATCGATGTTTAATGTCACCAGGTTACTCATGGTTGACCTGCAAAGAGTGATTGATTACTCTGAAAGTACTCGTCGCTCATTACCTCTCAAAGCAAAAGATTTAAACACTAAACTAAACCCAAGAAAGGCCGTTTCTCGAAAACCCGTGTAGTAATTACGCACAGTCTTGAATTTTGAAGTTCTGCCAAAATAGACGAAACTCTTGATTCTGATTATGGAAAATTTAATTCTTCACAGCTCTTGAAAACGAGGGTGACAAAAAAATAAAACAATCTTTTTTGGCAACTTTCTTACCTGTAATATCAAACTACACTAGTGACAGGGGATTGATAAAGAAAAAATAATTTTGTTTGATTAACATGACCTTTGCGAAAATTGACGGAAAAGGATAACAAAACAAAAAAAACAGTTGTTCAAAATTAGAAACTGGTATTAAAAGTAACAATCACTACTGACAACGATGGAGTGCGGTCTGGATAATTCTCTCTCCGCCGAAATTCTTGCAGAGCAGGAGGTAAATCCGGACTTTCAGCCCTTTTTGATAGAGAAACTTGACAATAATCCGAAGAAGTCTACTTTTACGTGGTCATGATCATTTGAGTGTGTTTCGGCGACCGCTTCCACCACTCAAATCTTAAGGCTCGTATTTCCCGCCCAAAGGTGGCGGTCACGACTCATGCCCTCTCGGACGTGACCGCGTTCTTTAAGGCAGCCGCGTCCAGTATCTTAAGGTCCCTAATGTGTCTAATGGCGAAGCGGGCGACTTCACTGCTAATGACGAAGAACCTCCAATTCCCTGCCCGGATTCTAAACGGAGCGAAGGTTCTGTTCGGCAAATATCACCCGGCGATCAACAGGTCTCGGCACCTGATTTTAAAAGAGAAACTGGCAAAGTATGGTCGCAGATTACATTGATCCATGAGAAGATTGGCCCCATCGAGAAACCACGAGAAGCTGATTTAAATGATGTCCAGCTCATCAACATCTTCCAAAAAAGAAATCAAAATCTCTGCAATGAAAGAGCGACTATTTGAAGAAACAACAAAGCTTAAGAGAGTTACCGAGGAACGCGACTCATATATAACTGCCCTTCAAGTGCTGACAAAGGAAATACGTGCTCTAAGCTCCAATGCCGATCAAACTGAGATAAATTCTGCCGAAACCATTTAGCGTCCAAGACTAAATTCACGGCCAGCGGGTCAGAAGATCCCAGTCATCGCAACTCAAAATCGCTTTGAGCCTCTTCATGATCAGATTTCTGTACACTCTGATCAACCATCCCTAAACAACAGATGCGACGTCTTACCGAAACCTGCATCCTCCAACAGCGAGAGAATTAAATCTACTACCGTGGTTATTGGCGACTCAATGATCAAAGAAATTCATGGTTGGAAACTTGGCAAAAAAGTTGGCCACCGGGTTGTAGTTAAATCATTCTCGGGAGCCAATCTGTGGGGATATGAATCACTATCTTAAATGAACCATAGTAAAAAATCCCGCCAGAATCATCCTACATATAGGAAAGAACGATCTGAAGGATCGAGATCCCAACATAGTCACTGATCACATCGTAGACTTAGCGAGGAAAATTGAAAATGAATCAAGTGCTCAAGTCATTCTATCTGAAGTGGTGTCTATATCGGACGATGTTTCGAATGAATCCGTAAAAGCTACCAACAAGAAGCTTCGCAAGTTTTGTGCTCAAAACGGCTGGCAACTTGTTCAGCACAATAACATTACCAGTAACCGTCTAAATAGGAGTGAGCTACACCTTTACGAGAGAGGTAATAATATCATGTTTAATAATTTTGTCAAGTGTCTTAGCTCTGGCGCTCACAGGTCAGCTTGATTCTCACGCCGACCTAAAGCTCGTGATCAATCCAGCCGGGGTCATCCTGTGTCTTCTATCCCAGTTCCAACTATTTCTCAATATCTATTGCCTACCGAGTCTCTCACAGTCAACAACAGTCGTAAATCATCACAAATTGTCACTGAAAGAGCCTGCGACGAAGAATGTCACCTTTGGGATATCATATACTAGAGGTGTCAAGATCGCAGCGCTCAATTTTGCTAGTCTACCGAAATATATTGACGACCTAAGAATCTATATGATCTCTAAATCAGTTGATATATTAGCTATAAATGAAACGCGTTTAGACTCCTCATTCTCAAATACTGCCGTAAGTATACCCGGTAATTTTCTTGAAAGAATGGACCGTAATAGAAATGGCGGAGGAGTTGCGCTTTATATCAGGAACTCTTTTAACTATGAAAACATCCAAACCTTGGATGAGAATTTAGAATTACTTTGTGTCAAAGTGATTAAACCTAAGGCAAAACCCTTTATTGTTGGAACGTGGTATAGACCCCCTAGGTCACCAAACGAGATAATGCATGCTTTCGAGTCTACCCTTGAGAGATTAGAGTAGTATGATTTGACAATCTCTTAAAGTCTTTATCTAGTATTCACTCGCATAATCTAAGGAAGTCAAATTACAACCTTTTTGTTTCTAGACCGAGTACTGAAGCAGGTAAGCGAGGTTTCCAATATCGTGGCTCTGTTCTATGGAACAGCCTGCCCTTGAGCGCTAAGCTACAGCCAACTCTTCTTCCGTTAAGTCATGTATTTGATTAATATTGATAAGCAGCTATAAGCAATGAAATCGTTTTTATAGTTGTTTTAAATCTTCGCACAGATAATTAATTTAGTTAGATATATTATTGGTTAATTAATTAATTAATTTGTATTTAGAACACGGCTTGGTGGAAGAGCATGTAACATGAATTGATACCGTGTATAAATAAAGTTTTACTACTACTACTACTACTACTACTACTACTACTACTACAAGTTGTTTATTTCCGTCTATTAGCTAATTATCTGATATCATGATTACATTGAAATGTAAACTTACACTAAACATCAACTTACGTTTGACTACCATAAACTCCCTTGCAGGTTGAAGCTAAATTCCCAAACATATTGCAATACAAAGGTAAAAGAAAAAAAAAATTAAGGTATGAATAATCTCTTTTACAAATGAAAAATGTGATACATACGAAATACTGGTTTTGGCAGTTGATGGTACAATGGCTTTACCAACTACTGGTACTTTGTTGTAAATAGCAGTAGATCTGAAAGTATATTTCTGTACTATAAGTCTCACTCATACCACTCATTCGTCTCGCTCGCCTACGTCTGCGAAATTTCTGATAATTAGGAGAGTGACCGCTTTAAGGAACTATTTGTAAGTTACAATGATTTGTCACGCTTAGAAACAATGGGGGGCAGTGTGGTCGAGTGGTCCGCGTGTCGGACTCGCAATCCGCCGCTTCCGGGCTCAAGTCCCGCCCTAACCACTACCTGGATTTGTTTCACGGTAGCTCCGGGTTCAAATCCTCCGCCATGCTTGTAAATAGCCAACTGGTTTGCCTTCAGCCAGTTGCGATTTTTCAAAATGTTATTTTCAATTAGAATTATTAGCCCACAATGTAAACTACTGGGTTACCAGTAATTGTGTTAGCTATTAAAGTTTATTTATTTATTACAAATGATTAAAAGCGCTAAAGTACACCTTACATAGCGTGTCACCCTTTCCAATGCACGTCTTTCCATCACCCCAATAATCAGTCAGGCATGTGCAAATGTTAGCTCACTTGGTTAGAGCGCTGGATTGTGTTGTGCGGATGGTCGAGGGTTCGAGCCCCGGCCGGACCAATACTCATGGTCTT